TTCTTGTTTCAGCTACTATGTCTTTGAATGAATTTACTGCATGCGATGATGGTAGTGAAACTGGTAATGAAACTATATCTATACGTAAAAGAAGAGCAAAATCAAAAGCTTGGGAGTATTTTACTGAGTTGCCTGTTGATAGTGATGGGAAAGCTAAAGTTCAGTGCAAGAAATGTGACCAAGTTTATGTTAGTGGTTATGGTACCACAAATATGTTGAGGCATATTCATTCTTGCCCAAAACGAGATATAGATGAGGTTAATTCATCGTGGAAAACCATGCCATTAGATCAAGATAATTACAGAGAAATGTTGGCTAGGGTCATTGCATTGCATGGTTATTCATTCTGTTTTGTGGAACATCGAGGGATACGCAAATTACATACATTTTTAAATCCTGAAGTCAAGCATATCTCAAGGAACACCACTAAAGCTTGCTTAAGTTGTACCAGAAAGAAAAAAGAATTCTTAAACAAACTTTGAAGCTAGTTCCTAGCAGAATCAGTCTAACTACAGACTTGTGGACCTCTTCAACATCAGATTACTACATGTCTCTTACTGCACATTACATTGATGAGCAATGGATCTTGCAAAACAAAATATTAGCTTTGTCTCATGTTTCACCCCCATATAGTGGGGCAATTTTAGTAGAGAAGCTATTTCATTTACTGAAGGAGTGGGGCATCGAAAAAAGAATTTTCACTGTTACATTGGATAATGCATCATATAATGATGCTTTTATGAAGATTTTGAAAGACCATCCTGCTTTAAAGGAGCATTTTGTCTCCAATGGTGAATTTTTGCATGTACGATGTTGTGCTCACATTTTAAATCTTGTTGTACAAGATGGTTTAAAAATAATTGATAAATCTTTATCCAAGTTTAGAGAATGCATTAAATATGTAAAGAGTCCTCCTGGAAGGAAGAAAAAATTTGCAGAGTGTATCGAACAAACTTGTTCAGTTAGTGCAAAGAAAATTCAACAAGATGTGTCCAATAGATGGAATTCCACCTTTTTAATGTTGGAGAGCGTTTTACCTTTTCGTCGGGCATTTGAGCAATTGAAGGTAATCGATTCAAATTTTACATTTTGTCCATCAACTGAAGAATGGGTAAAGGCTGAAAAAATAGCAAAGTTCTTAAAACCTTTTTATGAAGTGTGCACTCTTTTTTCTGGAAGTAAATACCTAACTTCTAACTTGTATTTTGGTGGGGTTTGGAAGATACAAAAATGCATAAAGGAAGAGATGACAAGTGAAGATGAAGACATAAAATCTATGGCAAGTGATATGGAGAAAAAGTTTAATAAATATTGGAAGTGTTATAGCAAGATTTTGTCCTTTGCATGCATCTTAGACCCCCGTTATAAGGTGAAATATGTGGAGTTTTGTTTTCAAAAAGTGGGTATTGGTTCTACTCATGTGGTGACTCTCTTGGATAAGTTAAAGCTTCTTTACAAAGAATATGAGAGAGCATCAAATGATATATGCATGGCCGGTAGTAGTTCGGAAGAGGCCTTTGGAGATGTTCGTGATGATGAGATGCTTGAGTTTGAACAGTTTGAGAGCCAAGTAGTTTCAGCCAGTAGGACCAAGTCTGAATTAGAAGAGTATTTAGATGAAAAGATACTTTCTTGGAAGAAAAATGAGAAACCGAATGTTCTTGAATATTGGAAAGTAGAATCTAAGAAGCATCCTCAATTATCCATGATGGCTCGTGATATACTCAGTATCCCTATTACTTCAGTGGCCTCTGAATTTGCTTTCAGCATAGCTGGTCGTGTGTTTGATAAGTACCGCAATCGTCTTCTTCCGAAAAATGCCGAAGCTCAAATATGCCTTGGTTCTTGGTTAGAGGAGGTTCCTTGTAAGTTGCTTACTTTTTCTTGTTACCTTCTATAAATTTATGGTGTACATGTGTTATATTGCTTACTTTTTCTTGTTACCTTCTATAAATTTATGGTGTACATGTGTTATATTAGACTAACATAGTTGTGTCCTATGATCTAAATGCAGCTTTGGAAGATATTGAAGGACATCTGTTGGTGCATGATTTTAGTGATATTCAAAATTTTGAATCTGAAGGAGGGTGGTGAAGTGTGCATGATTTTAGTGATATTCAAAATTTTGAATCTGAAGGAGGGTGGTGAAGTGCTTGTTAGAAGATTTGTCATCTATTAAGGTATTAATCTTTATTGATGTTTAAGCATTGTACTACTATTGACCGCTGCTTTGTAGAGCTAGAGATGAGGTTTCTACGAATTTTTGTGTGCATACCTCTCCATTTTGGTAGTGCACTTGATTTGCATATATGTTGCATTTCCATTTCCTATTGCCGAAGCTCAAAGCTTTGTTGTCAATCAGTCAGATTTCACTGTTCAAAATAAAATTGACAAGCTGAACATAGATTTGAATAATGAAATTGACAAGCTGAACATAGATTTGTAGAGCTACAGATTTTCTGTCCTTTGCAAAGACAATAAATGTGGAAGAGGTTTACCTTCCATCTGATGTTCAAAATGAAATTGACAAGCTGAACATAGATTTGAATAATGCGGCTAATACCCTATCAGACAAAACAAATGAAAGTTCAGAAAAGATTAGAAGTGTTATTGATACAGTGTATGGCTCTATACCTTGTTATTTTTTGATCTGGCTTTGTTCTGTCATTGCACTAATGACTTTGTCTACTTATATAGGAGGTGTGTGTTGATTGTGGTAGCAACAGTGATGCTTATACTTGCAGTAATTGGTTTTGGTATGTATTCTGTGCTCCTTGTGCATTGCCTTACTGCTTATGTTCTCTATTTTTGACCAACTATCTTTCATATTCTGTTTGCAGTACTCGCCGTTCTTTGCCTGCAACAAGAGCGAAGAGATGACATCAAACTACTTTTGGATCATGTACATGAGTTTGAGAACGATCGGTAGTTTAAGAAAAGTCTAAGATCAACCGCCTCTTTCACTCTCATCCAGTTTTAACTTATCTTGTAGTGGTTATTGTTTGATACATTGTAGTAGCACCTTGGACGATTACAAATCATCATTTAACTTATCTTGTAGTGGTTATTGTTTGATAGACAATGGACTAAAAAGACCAATCTCTTTCAGCATATGTTGATCTATATAATGTTTACTAGTCGTAATGTTGTGTATAAAACTTGGGATCTTAGTACTTCACATTTTGATTTTCGTTATATGTAGAACGTCTTTTTTTAAACTGTGGAAGCTTTTGAGGTTGATGTTTTTCCGTTGATAATTTGTCTGCCTGTGCTTCCGCCTGTGAAATTGGGTTTCAGGTTGGAAAAGTATTATCTACCGAGTATTGTTAGCGATTTAAAAGTTGGTGATTGTGCTGGTACGATAGTTATTTTATTAGCAATATTAATACTGATTTTTAGCGATTTAAAAGTTGGTGATTGTGCTGGTACGATAGTTATTTTATTAGCAATATTAATACTGATTTTACTGTTGGTGAAAGTTTACCAAAAAACCCCTGCAAGTTTGTAGAACACCCTTGAAAGTTTATAGAACCCCCCCTAAAAATTTACCAAAAATCCCCTGCAAGTTTACAGAAAACCCTCTGAAAGTTTGTAAGTAGATACCTAAAATTTACATATATATAAAAGTATCGTAACTAAATGGGTTATTGGGTCACCCATGAACCACCCATTTAGTAAATGGGTGGTTGAGAACCGACCCATTTAGCAAATGTTTGCTAAATGGGTCATAAATGGTTAAGTGGTCATAAATATGACCACCCATTTATGACCCAACCAAACCCAACCAAAACCACCCATTTGACATCCCTACCAGTGTACCTTCATGTCTGCACCAGTCCACAGCCTCTTTAGTCTTCAGAAAGAGAGAAAGACAAAAGAAAAAATCACTTTCATTTGGTACAAACAAGGTCGTACAAATATACTAAACAAATATGTTCTTTTCTGTCCCATGTGTGACAAAAATCTGTCACAGCCAATTTAATAATTATTTGCCTTAGTTTTTCCCCCATCCTTTTTGCCCCAATTGCCAAACTTTGTAATAAACAAATGATTATAATAATCTTCCTCTTTCTAATTTGATGTTCAACAATTCTGAACTATTTCAAAGTTGAGCTTAGTAAATTTGGAATATAGGATATATTACAAGGAAATGAAGAAACAAATCCTTTGTCTACACCTATGTAGAAAGAACAAGACAAGAAAGAGAAATAAAGACTGAAAAAAAACTCAAGTGCATGGCTTTACATAATTATGAGGTTGAAGGGTATGCTTGTCCTTCAATTTTGAAGGACGACTTACTTGCCAAATAAAATATAATAAAGCAGTCAGAAACTCAGAATCAATAATTACATGCTACTAGAACAAATCAAAAAATTCGAAGTCACGTTGCAGATATAAGACTATAGAAATAACGTAAGAATAAATATGCAATAACGAAAAACAACATGGTCATACTGTTGTCTTCTATGCTAATTGTTTTCTGAAGGAAAAACTGCACTACAGTTCTTGAAAAGTACAACATTCATAAACATCCTCATAAAGATTTTTACATATATTAAAACTTTAATGTTTATTTTTCTTCTTTTTCTTGGAGAATGTTAGAATATAAAACTATAACTCTCAACCCTCACTGTAGGTTTGGAGTTTGGAAGGGACCTTCTAAAGGTATCAAAGTAACTCATGTCCAAATCCCACTAGCCACACATTTAAAAGTTAATTAGAAAAAGGATACCATTAGTGACCCTAGATTTTTGACCCCATAAATAAGGAAGCTCAATTTGCAAACTACACCCCTCAACCCCCACCAAAACTTCGGAGTTTCGGTGTTAGTGGAAGGAACTTTAAAAGAACAATTTTAGCCATCAAAAGGAATGCCAGAGATATATGTGCCTTAAATGTTGTCATAATATTCAGAGTTGTATCCAATTTATCAAAATAAAAACATCAAAACATTTTCACTAATACGCATGACAACAACGAAAGAGGAGCTTTCTTCATACCTTCCAGAAGGATTCAAAGATCCTAGGAGGGTTATAGAGGATTCCCAGTGCAAGCCTTTCAGGGTAATAGTCCTGCAAAACATGAGCGGTCTCACGAGTCGCCTTCACTGAAACACTACCCATCGTCCAACCTTGGAAGTCAATGAGCCAAACCATCTGCTCCTGATCTGCTGCCAAATTTAAAATTGCATTTTCCATACAATAAACCAAGTATTTTATTTGCCCTTTCGTTGAGTTGGTATTCTGATCGCAGTGTAAATAGTGAAATAAATAGTTAGAACCATGACTCAGACTCCCCAGGATTCTATATTATTGTAGGGTTATTTAAATATTAGTCCCTCAAATATTCAACAATTCCATATTAGTCCTTCAAATCTTTGAAATTGCTGATACTCAAAACCTAAGGGGTCTTCAATTTGGTCTCTCAATTACCAAAATACCCCTTATTTTATGTTTTCTCCTTGTGTTGAAAAAAAACAGTAGCTGAGCGTATTTTGGTCATTGAGGGACCAAATTGCAACGCTTTACGTATGAGCAATTTCAAAGATTTGGGAGGCTACTATGGAATTATTGAAGATTTGAGGGACTAATATCAAAATAACTCAATGTTGTAACGCTAACCTGGAATCCTGGCCTCATAACAAGAACAGTTCTTCCATACTTGTCACAGTAATCCGCCCTATAAATCTTTCCAGTCTCCGCTTCATGAACAATATCTTCCTAGTGGTTCAATTATTTAGTCAGGACCACATATAGATTTAATGATACAGAGAAAACACGAAAACGCTTGAAATCATGAATAAAGCATCATATTGCCAAAAGATACGCAAATTTGCAAAGATATAGGTTCTTTTTTGTAGCTTCTTCATAATCTCGACCAATGCAGCAAAGATGATATATTCTAGTGACTCAGTAAAGATATTTATTTTTTGTGCCAAAGCAGGCAATGAGAATATTATGAGAATTTGTCTTAGCATTTTACAAGATCAAGTTGTTAAAGAATTAAATGCATATAACATATATAAATTTAGATAAGTTTTTAAAATTTAGCCTCTATGTAGCTCTTCTGGATTAAATTACAATTACAAAACATAGACGAAATATTCTTCTATTTATATGTTTTACCAAAATCTTTTCCTTTTTCTCCCTTTTGATCTTTTTCTCATGAGTTGTTCCTAACTTGATATTAGTCAAATAAGAATGTACAGGGACATACCCAACAAATTGCTTCTGGTTTGTATTCCAGCCTCCATTTCAGGGCTTCCTTCAACATCTTGCTTGCTTTTTCACTATTCCAATTTCTTGCTTGTAGAAATCTTGATATTAAAGCATCTGTGCAGAAGTTTGGCAGCTTATCTGACAATGGAGTTATGAGATTTCGGACTTCATTTATCTGAGAGGAAAGGAGTAACCCTAAACTTCCAAGATAAAGGACATAATTCACCATTTTTAGGTGAGTAATTACATGCAAACACAATACATATAACTTCAAGCATATATCATTCAAAGATGAATGGTCTAAATTGGCATCACTAAGCTTACCTTCGCTTGCTCTTCTTCCAGGGACATGGTCTTATCAGTATGATTAGACTTTGATTTCCTTAGAGACATCCCAGATTGAGTCAATAAGCTCCCAAAAATATCTGGAAATGAAAGTTTGAAAGGGAAAAGGTGCGTTAAGTCACACATGGTTACTGCAAATTGAATATTGATCTACTAGGAAGCTAAAGCAAGAAAATATAACATATGAAGTGAACTTTAGATCTCTAGAGTTCTAATTCCTTGACTATAATAGTGACTATGACAACCAACAGGGACCTACATCGTCAGTCACTAAATCTTCTCCAATATCAGAGAGCCACTAATGGAACAACTTCGAAAATAAAATTATAACCCTCAATTCTCACCACAATTTCGGAGTTCTGGTGTTGTGGCAGTGACTTTTGACATGGTATCAAAGCAACCCAGTTCTAATTCCTACACTTGGCCAGGAGCGTGAGACCAGTATTCAGCCCATAAAAAGGACACTCAACATGTGGGGCATGTTAGAATATAAAATTATAACCCCAAACACAACTTTGGACTCTCGATTCAGTGGCAGGGACTTCACGGAATAAAGCTCTCAAATCAAAATAAACAATGCGTATAAGACGTTTATGACTGATTCTTGATGAATCTTGGTTAATTTCTCTATGCCAGGGAACAATATGATAATAAAAAGGCTTGTTATAAAATGCAGTCAAACAGTCAACACCTTAATCACGTAGTTTTTGAAATGTGTTCAGGAAAAAGAATGTCTCACATATCGTAAGAAAGATGGCATTGTATGCGAATAAACTCATCATTGAAATACAACACTTAGATAACATAAAACGAATTTGTTGTGATTCTCTCAAGTGACAGTGAGAAAGTGACAAGTAACATCAAGATGCCCTACCACTGATACACAGGGAATTCTCCGAGCTGCCTCTTTGCAGGTTCCTTCTTTCTAGACTAGGCTTTCTTTGATAAACTGAATTCAATGTTGTGCTCAGCGAAAATTTCGACAGCACCTCGGCGCAACAAGAGAGTAAGATCACAATAGGAATTCTCGTTTCACCAAGGAAATAAAAACCAAAAGCAAAATATCTCAACAAAGTGGGATATCAGCTCTTCCTCTCATTAATTCTAGGAATATCTCAACAAAGTGGGATATCAGCTCTTCCTCTCATTAATTCTAGGACTGACCTGTCGAGGGAACCTAAAATAAGCTATTACAAATCACACAAACAACGAGACAAACGAATTTTACGTGGTTCGACAAATTGCCTACGTCTACGGGGCAAGGAGGTGGGAGATCTACTATTAGAGAGAGAGAATACAAATAGGGTTTACAATCACACAAATTAAACCCTCAAACAAGCTCTCAAATCCCTCACAAAATTCTCCACCAATGAATGCTCAAAAACCTAAAAAATGACTGCTCAAACTCTAAAAGGACGACCGACTTTCTCCCCTTCCTTCTGCGTTTTTCTCCCACACAGCCGCCAAAACCTGCTTTCTCCCCTTGTTTTGCACCGAAAAACCGAGAGAACTAGGTTCCTATTTATAGGGGGAGAGAATTCTCGGTGTGGCCCCCAATAAAAACCGCGTGAACAGACACACGTTCTCAATTGCTCCGCATATGTGGTCCCCACACGACGAAAACCGCGTGAACGACTTGGGTGTGGCCACGTTCTCAATTGCAGCGAATGTGGCCCCCACATGCTTTATCTGCTTACAATTCTCCACATCGGCGAAGTTTTTCCAAAACTGAACCGATACCAAAGCAACCAAATGTCCCACTTGTTGTGTCCAGTACGAAGTGAAACAATTCACGACAACGAACTCAATCCATAACAAGTCAGAAACCCAAATGAGAATGCGAACAAACTACAAACGTCGGTATCTACTCACCAAATCAGCTACATCATAAATGACAGCCTACGTATCCTCTTACTCAAGGAATCAAACCTTCACGTAGTTCACCCAAATGGCCGCTAATGACCTCAACAATCACGAATGTGCAACAAGTCTTTATAATGATCTTCACTACCTGCGATATCTCCTCTATCGGGATTCGGATCGCTCTCCACCTGATTAGAACTGAGAAGTTTTAAGATAGAAATCTCATCGAATGTGACGTCCCTACTCAGCATAATCTTTCTATTAACCGGATCCCATAGCTTGTATCTTTTGATACCACGCTTGAATCCTACAAATATGGTCTTCCTAGCTCGAGGTTTCAATTTATCTGTTCTCACATGATAATCACTTCTCCATAGGGGTTTTTCCCTTAATCGCAGATGAAGGCAGCATGTTAATGAGGTGGCTCGCATATGAAAGTGCATCAGCCCAAAAATCTTCTCCAAACCATTATACGCTGACAAACATCGGATCTTATCCAACAAAGACTAATTTAACCTCACTATCACCCTATTTTGCTACGGTGTATGACTAACTATGAAGTATCTCTCTATGCCTTTGTCTCGACATAGCTGCTGAAAATGGTCTGATGTATATTCACCACCGTTGTCGGATCGTAACGTCTTGATCTTTCTCTTAGTCTGCAGTTCCAATCTCTTCTTTCACTCCACAAACAAATCTAGGAATTCATTCTTATGCTTCATAATGTACACCCAACAACGTCTAGAATAGTCATCTACGAACGTGACGAACCAATGTCGACCATCAAGTGATGCAGTTTTAGTGGGACCCTAAACGTCTGTGTGCACGTAGTCTAGGATGCCCCTCATCCTATGAATGATTATTCCGAACTTCACCTTCATCTTTTTGCAAGTACACAGTGCTCACAGAACTCCACTTTACCATTCTTGGTTCTCTTTAATAGCTCCTGCATGCACAACATCTGCAGTGACTTTTCGCCTGTGTGCCCTAACCTATAATGATAAAGCATGTTCATGTCCGCCTCTGAAATAGTTAAAGCAACCTGGCCAATCTCGGTGCCCCTTCAAATAGTTTAAATTTCGACTATGGACTCCCTTCATCACCACCAAAGATCCCGTAGTAACCTTCGCTGCAGCATTTTCAAATGTCACATTGAATCCCTTTGCCTCCAAAGCTCCAACTGAGATAAGATTCTTCTTCAGCGGAGGAACAAATCTCACCTCTTTTAATTCACGAACTACTCTATCATACATCCGGATCCGCACAGTACTTATCCACAAATACCACAGGACTGATCATTTCCCATGACTAACTCGCCCATCGAGCTTCTCAAAATATGCAAACCAATCTCACCTAGAGGTCACATGATAGGTAGCACCGGAATTAAGCATCCAATCTGATACATCCAAGTGGTTCATCTCCGGAATAATCAATAGAGAAAAGCTCGAATCATCGGAATCATCGTCTTTCGTAATATTCACCTCATTGGCCTTTGGGCCCTTTTTCTTGTCATTCTTCTTCTCCTTGAGCTTCAGACAGTCTCTCTTCTAATGTCTCTGCTCCTTACAGAATACGCATTGATTCTTTGCTAATTGGTGACGGCTTCTTGACTTTGACCTCCCTTTATTATCACCTTTCGGATATGAGTTTCTACCTCTCGTCGACAAAGCCTCACCTGAAGTACTAGCACGAGAAATCTTATTGTCTTTCCTCCTCAAATCATAATTCGTCAATGCATTAGTAACTTTACTATAGCTGATAGAAGATCTCTCGTTGAACAAAATGAGCACAAAGGTGTTATACTCCTCATCCAGTAAGGAGCCCAATAAGATAATAACATTGTACTCATCCGAAATCTTCTCATTAATATTCGCTAAGTCCGACAACAACTTCGTATAGTTGTTCACATGAACCGTAAGCGAGGTGCCTCTGGACATCTGAAATCTGAATAACGTACACAGCAACAATAACCGGTTCTCAACACTCTTCGTAAGGTACTTATTGTTGAGAATTTCTCACATCTTCATTGCAGACGTCACCCTAATCACATCATACTTCAGCTCCTGTTCCAAACAGGACCTGATCACCCCACAAGCATTCTTATTCATCTTTTCTCATATCGCCTCTTTATATTTTGGTGGTCTCTCATGGACCATGATGGTCTTCTCCAAGTTCTGAGCGCTGAGCGAATCCTGTACGTCGCTCATCCACAAACAAAAATTGATTTTACCGCATACTTTACCATACTAATTTTGGTGTTTTGAAAACCAACTTAAACTGTACTCGTCATCTTCTTACTGCTTTCACATTCTCTCATTACAAACTAACTCCAAGTTATAGAGAAAGAATCAAACTTTGATAGAAATTAAGAATTACCCAACTGAACCCTAGATCGGATTCCAAATAGATCTCCTGTCCACACGAGGAAAGCGAAATCTCTAACGACAACTCCCAATACTATCTCAATCGAAGTCTAGAACTCTAAGAACCAAGCTTCACACAAGAATCTCCCTCCATCTAATTCCAAAACTCTAGATCTAAAATCCGGGCTCTGATACCACTTGTTGTGCTCAGCAAAAATTTCGTCAGCACCTCAACAGCACCTCGACGTAACAAGAGAGTAAGATCACAATAGGAATTTCCGTTTCACTAAGGAAACAAGAACTTAAAGTAAAATATCTCAATAAAGTGGCATATCAGCTTTTTCTCTCATCTGTTCTAGGACTGACCTGTCAAGAGAACCTAAATAAGCTATTATAAATCACACAAACAGCGAGACAAACGAATTTTACGTGGTTCGACATTATCTACGTCCACGGGGTAAGGAGGGGAGAGATCTAGTATTATAGAGAGAGAATACAAATAGGGTTTATAATCACACAAATTAAACCCTCAAACAAGCTCTCAAATCCCTCATAAAATTCTCCACCAATAGATGCTCAAAACCCTAAAAAAAGACTGCTCAAACTCTAAAAGGACGACCGACTTTCTCCCCTTCCTTCTGCGTTTTTCTCCCGCACAGCCGTCAAACCTGCTTTCTCCCCCTGTTTTGCACCAAAAAACCGAGGAGAGAACTAGGTTCCTATTTATAGGGGGGAGAATTCCCGCGTGAACGACACACGTTCTCAATTGCTCCGCATATGTGGTCCCCACGCAACGAAAACCGCGTGAACGGCTTGAGTGTGTTGTCACGTTCTTAATTGCAGCGTATGTGGCC